TTTTTGATGTTAGAGTTATTTCAATTTATAAAAGGTAAAATGGTGGCATTTTTGATGTGTTGTCTATTTAACAATTTAAATTTGTCTATTTAACAATTCAAAAAATATAAAAAATTTAAAAATTTTCGAACATTTCGAACATTCCGAACATTCCGAACATTCCAAACATTTCAAACATTTCAAACATATTCGAACAATTCGAACGATTCGAACAAATTCGAACAAATTCGAACAAATCAAACTGAACACGAACAGATCTTTCACGAACAATTTCGAACACGAGCCTATTTCAAACAAACTATATTTCAAACGAACCGAACACGAACACGAACACGAGCACTGTTCGTTCGTGTTCAGTTCGTTTACACCCCTAGATAAGACCAGTACATGGAGGATCCAAAGTGGGGTTTCTTTGGTCTCATGGCATCATGCGGGTAATTATATCTTCAAAATTTGCATCAAACCTCAACCTTTCCCAATTAACAAATTTTAACCTTTTAGCCCTAAACTTCCCCATAATTACCAAATTGCCCTTGACACCCCAAAATTCCAAGGTTGGTCCAACTCCCTCAATTTTGTTCAAAAATCATTTCAAACCATTTCATACCATCCAAATTACCCAAAAAACTCCAAAATTTTCATATTTACCAAAATACCTAAAATTGTCAAAATTACTAAAATGCCCTTGGTAGCCCAAAAATTCCCAAAATCTCCAAAATTATTCTAAATCACTCCAAATGTTTCCAAAATTAATTTAAACTACTTCATTGAGCCCAATTTGACCAAATTGACCAACTTTGACCAAATTAACTAACTTTGTCCAAAATCCCCAAATGTCCCTAAGTGCCTAAAGTCCCAAAATCACCCTCAATTTCCAACAAATTGATCTTAAATTTCCTCAATTTCAACTCTAAACTCAAATTCATCATGTCCTAATTTAATTTAAACCAAATTCAAGCCCAATTAAACCCAATTCCAAACTCCAAGTCAAAGTTCAAGTGAATTGCCTCAAATTGACCCAAAATCCAAAACTCCCCAAATTGAATTTCAAGATCAATAAAATAGCCCAATTTCAAATTCACATCAAATTCAACATATCCAAATTCATTTTTAACCAATTCCAAACCCATTTGATCAATTTCCAAAATTAAAATCATCGTGTGCATTCTAAAGGCCCATCTTCATATGCATATTAAAAGTCCACTTCATTGATTTGAAAAAGCCAAAATTGAGCAAACATGACAAAATTTCAATATTTTATCATCCTATGACATCCAAAATCACTTTATCATGGCATCATACCAAATTTTCCCATGCATGCATTACACTTTACCAAAATTGGGCATGTTGGCATTTTTCATTAAAAATCCATAAAATCAAAATTTCCTCTTGCGTGAAACCTTCCCATGACCCCATACATATCATAGCATGACTCATGGAGCCTTCCATGGGCATCCTAGAGTCAATTTGTGCCAAAAATGGCATGAGGAGGTGACCACTCCCCTCTCCATCCTTCACTTGAACTTTCCCCATCTATGAAAGATTTAAACTCTTGCCCATGCCCAAGTCAGCAACTTGACCTCACCCAAACCTTCCTTGGGGTTAGTCTAAGTACCCTCACCATTAGGGAACCAAACCCAACCCTTGGACCAAGGGGTTAGACCCAAACTAGCCCAACTTACCCAAAACTCATATTTCCCTTGGACATTCACCTTAGAGCCACCATTAAACCAAATTGATTGCACCACTCAACCTTCCTGGCCCAGAAGTGACCTAACCTTGGCCGGCCACCACCTTAGCCACCGGAAAACACCCAACCAGAGAAGAACCAAGTGGTCAAAACCCAAATGTAAACCCCCCTGAGCTGGCTAAGCCCTATTGGCCATTGGAGCTTTTCTTCCTTTCACCTAAGCTTCCCTCTTGCCACTATGACATGCCCTGATGACAATCATGGTCTCCTCTATAAAGAGGGCACCCCTCACAGCCAGGAAGGGATGATGCACAAGAAACCTAGGGAGACTCTGCCAAATTGCCCAGACCTTCTCTAAGACTCCCTGAGTGCAAGCCCACTGCTTCCAGCCATCCATAACCACTGTCCATAGCCAATTTCTCCACCCAATTCTCAGTCGAAACTATGACACATTTCACCACTCCACCACAGTCCAACAAAATCCAAATTGAGCTGCTCCTCACCATCCCCTAACCAAAAGAAGAGGATCCCCTCTGAATGCCCCATCATACAACTTCCCTAATATAGCTCAAGACCAAGGCCCCTAAATCGATTTGATCGAATTCATACTTGGACGGTTCACCAGAGCCCAACAACGATTCCAGGAGGTTCGTTGGAGTCCTCTAAATCTTCTGCAAGCACCTGATTGAGCCCACACATCTCAGGCACAGGTATTGAACTCTATGCAACCGAACTCATTTTTGGCTTTCATGGAAATACACTTGAATTCATGGACATGTAACTGTATGGATATGTTTGCCTAGGTTAGATGCACATGTAGGAACAAATCACACTTAATTTGTTGAGTATCGAGTGAGATCGAAGCAATTCAGTGTGGACAACTCTTGGGTTAGAAAGATCGGGGACGATGAACGAATGACGTCCGTTTCCGTGTTTATTGGGTGAACGGTCAAGATCACGTCGGACGAGAAGACGATGTGTAAATGAGAAGCCGTGTGGCAGTGTCGGTCGCCAAACATGGTGTTGGTAGTTTTGAAGTTGGTAGTTTTCCAAATATAATTTAATTTAATGTATATATATATATTTGAAAATTAACATTTTAATTTTAAAAAATACAAGACAAAACCAATCTCATATATTTAATAGTTTAAATAAACAAGCGATGCATATATTCAAGGAATGGACACATTGTTTGATGACGAGGCTCGATTAAATAAACTATAAAATCTATAACATCTATGCTGGTCTGCGAAATCGTTCATGTTGACTGAAAAATTTCCCTATTTAATATAGAAGACTAAATATGGTTTTTATTAAGTCGGGTTCCAAAGTTTCCTATAGAGGCAAACCCCTATAGTTAATTACATCTTAAGTAACCGAAGCCGCTTAAGAATACCCTCAATTCAGATCAATGGTTTTGTCTTCAAAATTTTCTAAGTTTAAGTTTTCAAGATTGGACATTGGAAATTTAAAAGGGAATGTATCAAAAGTTGAACAATTATTTTCAAGAATCCAAAGGAATAAAAGGTAGGAGATGCCATTGACCCGAGAGAAACCCCAGTGACTTCTCAAGCTATTCTATATATTTGGCTTTAATTTTGAGAAGATGTTATTTGATGTTTCATCCTGCTAGTTTTATTTACTTAGGGTTTGCACTTGCATGACACGATCATATAAATAGCCTAGAAGATAGGAGGATTTACATCGTAACGAGCGATGACCTCGGAGCCTAAAGCTAGTTAGGGCTTAAATTGCACAACATGATTGTGCAAAAGCCTAAAGATAAGTTGAGAATTTATGTCACACTAGACAGACAATTAGATGATCCGATTAGGAGAGTAGATGTTTTAAATTCGACTTGTGTTAAGAAAGGCAGAGGTAGACCTAGGAAGACTTGGGCTTATTGTATTAAAAATGATCTTAATTTACTAGAACTAAATGAAAATATGACACTAAATAGGATGCAATGGAGAGAAAGGATTCATGTAGCTGACCCCACGTAGTGGGATTAAGGCTTTGTTGTTGTTGTTGTTGTTGTTGTAGACAGACAACCTCAAAATTATATGGCTTGTTATTTAATTCTAAGAAAAGTTGTTGTTATAGATATGCTTGCCTTATTGGAGATGTTCTTCTATATATTTTTGTCATGTTACCCATGGTGTTAGCTCCAACGTCCTCGTTGATGTGATAGTCCTAATGTCTAATGTTCAAGAAGTTTTATTGTGTATGTTTCAATGTTTTGGTTTTATTGTTATTGTTTTTTGTGTTCTGGGGGGGTTAAAGTTGATTAGAGCGACACCGGTTAGGATCTCATTGTTCCCTTGTTGCGGTACCGCTATTTTCTTTTAAATTTACTTAGTCTAAACGAGTTGTTAAGCTCCTTTAAACTGGGGAGATCTCATTAGCATCCGTGGGTTACCTCATCCGAGAGACTCCCATAAATTCAAAAGGACGTATTATGAGGTTTTAGTTTTGTTGTTGTATTTTAAAATTTATTGTTGTATTATGAAAATGTTGTTTAATTTTGAAAATAATTTTGTAATTTTTAGTTTTAAAAAGTTTTGCAAGCAAGGTAAATAAATGAAGGTAATAAATGCAGGTAAAAAAAGATGTTGTAAAGTAAATAAATAAAATTGCAGTGCATAAAATATAAATGCGTACCGGTAATCTTCTCGCTGATCCCGCTGAAATGTTAGCATCATAAAACAGAATAAAATTGTAGGAAATAAATAAATTACATAAAAGTAAACAAAAGCATCCGATACAAAAAAGTCAAAAACTGGGTCATAGCAAAACCTGAGTAAAAAGAAAATCCATATTCACATATGGAAGACCAGAACTAGGTGTAAGACATGGGTAAAGGTGGGGGCTCGGAGCTGGACTGTGTGCTTCTCGATCTTAAATAAGAGCTACCAACTCAATCATCTATGAAGGACAGTTCTAACCTCGATCCAAGTGATTAACCATGGATCTTTAGAAATTTTCATTTGAATTTAATTTTCATGCATACACAATTTTATCATTCAAAGGAGACTTTTGCTAAAAATATTTTGTAGAGAGATGCAGTCCACAGGTTAATCAATTTAATCGAGTTAGGACTACAAACAACCTAAGAGTATCAGAGGCAAACATCTTCTCAAGAGTCATCGAATAATATTATTGGTTTTATCCTCTCATTTTATTAAATGTCCTTGAGGTAAGAGATAATATTCTCGAATCCCACACCGTACCCCTCGTTTTAGCACACATGAGCATTATCCTCATTGCCCTAGCTACCTAGACCATAAATTTACATAAGCCCGATGATCCATATGCGACAAAAACAAATATCCCCAGTTGCTCACAATGATTTAAATGCCTTAGAAAAGACTGAAATCCTTGAACATTAGGTTATTAATGTAGGATAAGTAGTTTGAGGTATTTCTATTGATTTGTGAATTATCGGGTCCCGAATCATATCTTGGTGGGTTCTTAATGAACAAATCATGATAGGCTTGAATGTCTTATAAAATGTCTAAAATCTTATAAAGGAGCCCAACAAACTCAATTTTGTATTTTTCTGATTTTTATTTTATTTATTATAATTATTTTAGTGAATAATTATAAATACATTGAAAAATAGTTTTAAGTATTCAAAATATATTTTTTTGGGTCTTTAAAAATTCAGGGAAGCATTTTTAAGTTATTGTCTTTGATCAAGGAAAATTTGATGACATTTTGAGATATTTTGTATTTTTGTGATTTTTTTGATTATTTTGATTATTTTTAAATGTTCAAAATTTTTTTTTTAATTAAAATTTTATTTTTTTTGTAAGTGTCCATGACCCCAGAGAACTCACTAGGCAAAATTTTATATTTTTCCGATTTAAATTTTGATTATTATAATTATTTTAAGCCAAAATTAATAATATTATAGGAAAATACACATAGGTATTTAAGACACATATTATGACTTCAAAAATTTTATGACAGTATTTTAAGGTAGTTTTCTTTAATCAGGATAATTTTTGTGAATTTTTGAGATATTTTCATATTTTTGGATTTTTTTTTAATTTTTAATACTTGAAAGTACAATTTCTATTTTTCTAAAATTTATTTTTTTTCTTGTTCGGTCTCTATTTTTTGAGTTTATGGGTATTTTTATTTTTTTTTTATGATTTTTCTACTCCAAAATATGTATTTTTAAAGTTTATGTATTATTTAAATTAGAAACTTAGACATTTGAGCAGGTAAATATGAAATCTAAGTAGTGACATTATCTAAGAACAAACAATCAAGAATGGAAATATGAAAGCCTAGACATGCAAATTCATGAAAATTGTGCGTGCATGTAAAGATAAAGAAGAAGAATGTGGTAAGGACGTCAAATAAGCAGGTTTGGGTGGCATGTATGTAAACATTAACGGTTAGGTGGTAGATATATAAACATGTAAGAATATTATGGCGTAAATGTAAATATTAAAGCTTAGAAATGTAAACATGCAAATTATAAGAATAAAGTGATATGCATGCAATTATCCATCTTTTAGGCATTAGACATATGAACACATAAGATTAGGGTGGTATGCATGTAAATTTTCTTATTATTTTTTTTGTGTGCTTCTCACGTGCAAATATATAAAAATTGAGTGGTATGATGTAATTTAAAAATTCAAATACATAGGAATTGGGTGGTATGTATGTAAAATTCTTTTGTTGGCTATCAACTATAGGCAAGGAAGAAAAAGAAGAGGGGAGGAAGAGTACCCAGTCCGAGCTTGAGAGGAAGTTGTTCACGGGTTGGAGAAGAATAGAGAGTGTATGCTGTATGGATGGAGCATAGAGAGAGAGAGAGCTATGAGGATATTAAAAAAAAAAAATGAAATGCGGAGGCTCACGGCTGAGAAAGATGGCTGGGGGTGAGGGGGAAGTTTGTTTGGTTGGTTTTTGGAGAGAAGGATGGAGTGCTCTTATATCGAAGAGGAAGAGAGGGAGAGAAAGAGATGAGAGGTGAGAGAGAGAGAGAGAGGGAGGCGTGGGAGAGAGAGAGAGAGAAGCAGGCGTGAGTAGGGGTGTAAACGAACCGAACACGAACGAACAAAGCTTGTGTTCGTGTTCGGTTCATTTAAAATTTAGTTTGTTTGAAATAAGCTCGTGTTCGTTTCTTAACGAACGAGCCGAACACGAACCGAACACGCGAACGACGAGCCAGTTTGACATCCCTAATATTAATATATAAAAATAATATTATATATTAATTATATAACTTATATTATATAAATATACAATATCTATATTAATATATTACTACTATAGTATATTAACATATTATTATTATTAATTTATTATATATTATAATTTATAAAATTTAATGTTTTAAAATATCACAATATATATATATATAATTATTTTAAATTATTTTATATTTCAAACAATAACGATTCAAACACGAACGAACGCATCACTGTTCGTGTTTGGTTCGTTTAACAAACCGAACGAAAAAAATTTGTTCGCGTTCGTATCGTTTACTTATCGAACAAATCGAACACGAACTCATTGACGAACCGAACACGAATTGTTCGCGAACAACGAGCTTTTTTGACAGCCCTAGGCGTGAGATTTATATAGATTTTTTTATTTTATTTTATTATATAGAAGTGAGATTTAAATAGTGTTTATATATATATATATATGCATGCGTGAATAGTAAATAGGATATGATAGTATTGCTGATTGCTGCATGCGCAAATAGTAATAAACCCTAAACCCTAAACCCTAAACCCTAAATTATTATTATTATTATTATTATTTATTATCATTTTCGAGTTTTGCGGCATTATGATGAAATAAACGACCTCTTTTATTTTAGTTGGTTTATGTTATCTCATGTCATCCGAATTTATTTGAATTAGATTTATATTTGTAGAAGAACTCCATACAAAAATCAATTAAGTGCCTTTACTTCATGTTATTTTATTTCCAAAAAAATTCTAATAATTTGTATAAAAATTTTCTTAATTATTATGTTTGTTTCCATGTCTAAATTCTTGTGGGCTTTTTTTTTTAGAATGAACAAAGAACTTTGGAGAACCATGTTCAAGAAAAGAGCTCTATTTTAAGGCGGCTGCTTTCTTTATGAGACCAATAGTTTTTCCCACCCACCCCAATCCACCCACTCAGGATCACCCACACCGAAACCGAACCATCGACCATCTTTTCTTTATTCCCCCAGAAAAGTGACCTCAAAATCCAACTCTTCCCTCTCATCCACAAACCTTTGCCGGATCTCCGCAATGGAGATAGCCAGCACCACGCCAAAGAACCCTAGGCGTGCCCGCCTGACACGCCGTGATCTCAACTCCCAGGTTTGAATTTTAATCCCTGCCTGGTCCTTCCACTTCGAATTGTTTTTCCGATTTCCGTTTTTCTGCATGATCTCGATTCTAGGGTTTTAACGCGTGGATTATTACCCCTGATTCAGGAAATATCAGGAGATGCCACCTTGGAGGAATCCGGCGACATGGACGGAATGGAGGAAGATGATGCGGACGCCGATAGCGGCAACGATTCCGGCTACGAAGGCGTGCCGGAGGTTGGAATGGTGTTCAAAACCCACCAGGAGGTTTCCAAATTCTACAAGAAGTATGCTCGTCGAGTAGGATTCGGAGTGTCTGTGAGAAGATCTTCCTTCACTAAAGAAGGCCATTGCTTGTATCTTGAGCTCATGTGCTGTAAGGGCGGCCGTAAGCGACCCGAGCCTAAGTTCCGGAAGAGGACAACTGCGACGACCAATTGCCAAGCGAGGATTCGAGTGAAGCTATGGGGCGATGGGTTGCTCCATTTGGAGCTTGCAAACCTTGATCATAACCACCCAGTAAGCCCGTCAATGGCTCGATTCTTGAATTGCTATAAGCATTTATCAGGCTTTGCAAAGAAGCGTGCCTTACACAATGATGAAGGTGATGCAGCACATATTGAGCAGGAGCAGCTTCAAACACAAGCACCTCTTGATAAACTAGGCATCCTGGAGGAGTTGCTCTTCAGTGAGAATGGATGTAGGAGCTTTGTAGAAAGAGGAAGGTTGAAGTTTGGAGAAGGAGATGCTGAAGAACTTCGCTTGTTCTTCACAAGAATGCAAATGAAGAACTCGAATTTCTTCAATGTCTTTGATTTGGACAAGGATGGATGCGTTAGGAATGTGTTCTGGGCTGATGCAAGGTCCAGAGCAGCATATCAATATTATAATGATGTTGTTGCACTTGATACATCTTATTTGATCAATAAGTATGATTTGCCTCTCGCCACCTTTGTAGGAGTTAACCACCATGGTCAGCCTGTGCTTTTGGGTTCTGCCTTGCTTGCTGATGAAACAGCTGAAACCTATATTTGGCTGCTGAAATCATGGATTGCTTGTATGTTGGGTCATCTACCAAAGGCCATAATCACGGATCAGTGTAAAAGCATTCAGAATGCAGTGTCTGAAGTTCTTCCCGGAGTTCGACACCGGCTTTGTTTGTGGCAGGTCATGAAGAAAGCATCCGAAAAATTGGGTGGGCTGGCAGATTACAGAGTAATCCAGAAGGTATTGCAGAAGGCTGTTTATGATTCCTTAAGGGTTGATGAGTTTGAGGAGGAATGGCTGAAAATGATTGAGATTTATGGGCTTCAAGGAAATGAGTGGTTGAGACTGTTGTATGAATGCAGGCATGGCTGGGCTCCTGTCTATCTCAAGGATGCTTTTTGGGCAGGAATGTCTACTACTCAACGAAATGAATCCTTTACTGCCTTTTTTGATGGCTATGTCGATGCTAAAACATCTTTGAAACTCTTTCTTAGCAAATATGAAATGGCTTTGCAAAGTAAGTATGAAAAGGAAGCCCAAGCTGATTTTGAAACATTCCATAAGCGGCGACCCTCCGTTTCAAAATTTTACATGGAAGAACAGCTTTCTAAAGTCTACACCCTCAACATGTTTAAGAAATTTCAGGATGAGATAGAAGCTATCATGTATTGCCATGCTTCGCTTATTAAGGTAGAGGGAACAATATCAACTTTTGATGTAAAGGAGTGTATTTTCCTTGAGGATGGAAAGAGGACAATGAATAGGAATCATGGCGTTCTTTATAATTCAGAAGAGAAGGATGTTCAGTGTATTTGTGGATCTTATCAGTTTAGAGGAATTCTGTGTCGGCATGCTTTGTCTGTCTTTAAGTTGCAGCAAGTTCATGAGATTCCCTCTCAGTATGTGCTCGATAGGTGGAAGAAGGACTTCAAGCTCTGACCCGCTCCTCAGACGACGTGATTGCCAACAATAGAATCGATCGCTACGATTTCTTGTCGATGCGATGCCTTCAACTGGTAGAAGTTGGGATTTTATCTGATAAATACCAACTTGCTTTGAGGTTGATAAGAGAGATGGAGCAGTTTCTTCTTAGTGATAATACATATGAAGAGACACAGCCAAAGATTGTGTCCAGTGTTAATAAACCAACCAAGCCAGATAGTGTCAACATAAAAGGCTTGGCAAATGCCTTTCCGTTGGAAAATGGAAATGAGGAGAGACGAAGGAAAGGGCAACTGCCACAGGTAGGGCTGTAGAAAAACTCGCCGTTCACAAATAACTTGTGTTCGGCTTGCTAAGTGGCTCATCGTTGATTTGTGCATTAAACAAGTGAACCGAACACAAATATTTTTTTGAGTTTGATTTATGCACGAGCCAAGCATGAATAGACCTATATTCGATTGTGTTCAGCTTATTTTAGCTTGAATTAATTAAATAATTAAAAAATAATACTTATTACAACATATTTATATTAATTTTTATGCAAGTTTTTTAAAATATAAATTTTATTATTTTTAAATTATTCAAGCTAAAATTCGAGCTGAAAAAATGCTAAAGCAAACAACCAAATTTGAATCAAGACAAACACGAACATACTATTCACTATTCCTTTCAAATACGAGCTAATTTCAAATGAAAGAAATTTTGAGTGACTTGAACATGAACAAACATTTGGCCCTCGATTTCAGCTTGTTCAAACCCCTAAACACAGGTGACAAATTAGAGGTTGATTATGCGTTATTTTAAGTTATCTACAGCTCAATATTGGAGTATGGACTGGTAATACTACTTTTTATTTCCTTGCCAAACATACTATTCAGTTTCTGTTTAGGGTTTGGTTTACTGGTTTGTTTTAGGAAGGGTTTTGGGAATTTGAGAAAACATATATAGGCCAGGTTGCATAGTTGAATAAGTCAATTAAAATGAGGAGAAGAAGATGGTGCTATGCCAGAACACTTATTTTATAAAAAAAAACTTCATAGAAAACTCCCTGGATTCAGGTATTTCAACTTTGATACTAGTTTAAGATATGCGAGATGTAGAAGATGAGTTTGTGGTCTAAATTTGATAATTTGATTGTTGCAAGGGTAGAATCCTGTATAGTGATAAAAAGGGGAGAGTTCAATGTAGAGAAAGAAATGTCATGATAAAAGACAGGGAGGTTGAGAAAATCAGAAGAATGAACACATTAAGGGAGCGAGGTGAAAAATAAAGAGAGAGGAAAGAGAGCCACGTGAATAGGAGCAAGAGGGACAAATCAATTCTTAGAGGCGATGCTAGAAGAAAGCTTTTAATTTATTACATGATCAACAATCTAATTACCTGTCCTACTAACTATTTATCTTATTGGGCCTTATTTAAAATGACAAAACAACTTTCGATCAAATAAAATTTATCAAACGTCATAAATGATTGTGATTAACTAATACTAATTAACTCAATGAAAAAGATGGGTAAAATCATTAGCATGGCATTAACACTGGAAAGTATAATGACTTATAATGAAGGATTGAGGTAGGTTTCTTGGCTGCATCACTATATTTAAGAAGGAGATAAGTATCATGGTGTGGGGGGTTCTTTTTAGTCCCAGAGTTTATAAAAGTTTCAATTTTGTCCATATACTCTTTTAATATGGGCTAAAACCACATATGACTATTTTAGTTCCAACTTAAAGATTCAGAGGACTAACTTGACACTTTTATAAACTCTGGTACTAAAATGATCTTATTAACAAGTCATTTGACTATTTTGACACTTTACACATAAAGAAACAACATAGAAATGGAACAGAGCTTCAATTAGCTTAGTTCTTCTTAAATATATTCTTACGGCCCCATGTTTTTTATTGTGGTTTATTCTCTGAACTATTTTGCTGCTTGTATTCAAGTAAATTGGATTGAATGTAGGGAGGAGTCAACCCAACTATGTTGTCTGTGGCGCATGTGAGTCCTCAACAATTTATTGGCAATCAAACAACATTCAGGCCCAGTGTTGTCTACATGTTTCCGGTTTGTAATTTGAATTATGCATTAGAAATTTATATTGCATAATTTTGCTCACCATTTTTATTATTACAGCACAGTTCCACTTTGATTAATTTTGTAAGAAATTTGATTTTCAATCATGAATTAATTCCTTTTACATTTGTTTTTTGAGCGAAGTGTCAAAATAGTCATCTGACTATTTACATAGGATCATTTTAATCTCAGAGTCTATAAAAATACAAAATTAGTTCCAAGATTTTCTTAATCGAAACTAAAATAGTTTTCCTTGTGGACTATTTTAACCCATATTAAAAGAATTTGGGAACTAAATTGATACTTTTATCGACTACAGGACTAAAATGACCCCTTACAAAGAGTCATGCGATTATTTTAACAATTTTCTCTTTGTTTTCTTTTGTAAGCAATTGATTATAAATTTTCTGCTGCCATTTATAATAAAAAAAATATCATTAAAATCTTCTCAAATACTTGCTGAAAAAAATTTGTCTGATAGGGAGGTTTTAATCCACAAACATTTGGAAATGGGACCATGATGCCATGGATGTATCAGCAAATGTATCAGGTCCAAATTTTGATTTTATTCCTATAATTTATATCAGTATTTTATCGTATGGAATGCTGTCCCACGCTTCCATTCATAATCAAATCATTTGTTTGTCATTTTTATTACGCTAAATTAGATTGCTAAAATTAACGTACAGGGCTCTCATCCTTCTGGAACAACCCCTGAACAAGCACGTAAGAGGAGGAAGGTAGCTCGCGGCTTAAAGGCTATACAGGCAGCTGATAGCCCCCGTGTTCTTCCTTCTGCCCCTCCATCAGGGTCATAGAATGAGTTATACGTTGTAAAATTGCTGTGCAGCAGGCATGTAGAAATCCCCTCCTTACCTGTATATACTTCTCATTGATGAATCCTGTAAAGTAAAATATGGAATAAAAACTCTCAAGGAATTTTTATTGCCTTTCTTTTGGGGGGGGGGGGGGGGATATTATCACATCAAAAATATATTTATTATTAATATATCTTTCTTAAGCCCATGTAAAGTGGTATAAATATAAAAATCAAAGTTTGGGTGTTAGATATGTAAATACATAGGAATTGTGTGTTATGTATTTAAATCTTCCATTTTTTTGAAGTAATTTGATGTTTTATGATATCAAGCTTTGGATTTTTTATTTCTTGCAACTTTTCTGCTCATACTCTGTCAGGTTAACTTGGAAACAATTGGTTGGTTATTTGTAAAATCATGAGCAACATACGGCAATCTTCAAGTGGATTGTCTTGATTAGAAGTCTCACATAAAGGAGCAGGCTAATAATTTGTCAGAAACTCCAAGCAGCACATATGGCACTTCCTGGCTGCTAAAGTTGAGGAGCTGAAGTGGTTTAGAACTTCCGTAAAGGTATGTTTTACTGTGTAATATAGAAGTTTTAGCTGGCTTTTATGACATTTTGAACGCAGTAACTGGTTCATGTATATTATTGCATAATATTGTTGTATATGGTTAGTTCCTCTGTTGCTGGAGGGTTTTTGAGTTATTAAAATGGATTATTTATTTGAGTATATAGCATTTGTACTTAGCTGCTTTTTTTTATTTCTGGGGTTTTAATGGGCTAGGGCGTGCCATTGTAAAGGAAACAGTAATATTTTAATAAATTCAGCTTTTATGCCCATATTGCGCACAAAAAGGATAAAACTGTAAAAAAATAAAAAAAACCACTTTCTACTGATGTGAGTTTCAGACTGGTGGGTGGAAATATCACTTCATGATTTCTGTCAAATTCTATTTGCCTTAAAATGTATTTTTGCAATATTTTGTGGGATTTATATACAGATCACTTTATTGTTATGTATTTTTTTGATTTTGAATTATTCTTGGATAAACATCATCTAAAAAAGTGTTTTAAAGAGCAAAGAAAAGATAAAAAACTATTGGGGAAAAAGAAAATAGAATCATGAGGATTTTATTAAGTAGAGTAGTTTTTAGAGCAATAAAAATCCAAAAAAAAAAAGCACAAAATAAGGAAAAAAGGGTTTTTATTTGGATCCTGTATTTTAAGATCAACGTGATATAAATTATTATATAAGAAATAATGAATATATTGTTCAAAGTTGAAACAAAATAATGGGCGATGCAAGCTGCCTGAATTGATCAGCCAAATTGGTCTGCCATATTAACCGGCATAATTGATTGGTCGCATTGGCGAGCCAAGATTATCTGTCAAATCTGTAGGTTGAATTGACTTATCGAATTGTTCCTCTGCCAATTTGATCTAATAAACTAGCATGTTGAGCCATAGAATGAAGTTTTTTTATTTCATTTTATTTTGTTTTTTTTAAATAACTGGATTATTAAGTTGGTGGTGAAGTTACCTACTTTGGGCTTGATTTAGGAGAATCTGACACATTTTAGTTCAACAATTGTCTTATCTTTTTAACAACGAAATTGCAAAATGAATAAGAGAATAAAAATACAGTAATTTAGTAATAAATATATTTAAATATGTTTATTTTATTTATGATATTAGTAGTTTGACTCTCTTAATTTTTGTCCCCAGCCATCCTCTAAAAATTGAAGGTGGTAGACTCTTATTTATTCTGACTATTGAACAACTCTTTACTTTCGTTTTGAACTCTCATCATTGTTTCTCTATGAAAAATGGATGATCCTTAGCATCCCAAAAATGAACTTGGTGTTCACCTTATTTGGTAAGAGAATGAAAGATGAGAGTTCATAGAATAAGCCAAAAAAAAAAAAAAATGCTGGAGAAAAATGATGGAAGCTCTAATGGTCGGAATTTCTTTCATCCCTAGTGTTAAATCTCTCCCTCATCATGTGCACATATTGAGTGCTCTATCTATTGTTGCACATATTGAGTTAGGTTTAAACTGTTTTGTTAACATATTTTCATTTAGAAAAAAACAATTTGATTTTTAATTTGATAAGTCTATTTAAAAGGGTGAATTGATTTTATAACCACCCATTTCACATTTAGCGAATTGATGAGTGAGTGGCATTTTGCTGATCAACATATTCAATCATATGTTAATTTTGAATTGAATTTTATTTAAATCACTCATGCAATGCTCCTCGGCAAGATCAATTTGATCATGGAGACAAGAAGCCCAGGCAAACAAGCCTTGTGATGAGTTGTCCGAAGCCAAAGCTCATGAAGTTAGAATAACATGTCGGCTTGTTGAAGGACATAATATTTCTATTTTTTTTAATTATACTATTAAAAAATCTTCTCGTCGAATTACTTAGTTAAGAGGGGTATAGTGACTCCTTTCATGCTTCTCATTATTTGTGCAAATAGAAATCCATCTACATTAATTAGGGAAACATTTCCAAACATCTGTTCCACTAGTTATTCTAAAAATAAATGTGGATGTTAAGGTTTTGAAGAAGACTGATGAGTTATCTTTGGAGCTAAATAGTTTGATGAGAGGTTCAGTTTCATTGTAGGACCCAAATCTCTATGCAATTGTCTGAATTGAAGAATTCCTTTAGCGAATTAGAAAGAGTGGTCTCTAACGTAAATAATGAGCTTTTGGGTGTTTCAGCAGTGCATGGAGCATAACAAATCCAATCAATTTATGCCTGCGGTGAATTCGTGAAGAAAAGTCTGATTGAAAGTGATTGAATTCCTCTTGAAGCAACCAATGATTCTTGTTTTCAATTTTTCCTTAATTCTTTTTTAAATAGAGGAAATCATCCTATATAATTAGGATGAGTTCTCAGGTTTAAAAGGATTGTAGTGCTCTTATGGATGTAATGAAAAGAACTGTTTTTTTATTTTTCATATGATGTGATTGATAAAAATTTTACTGTCATTAATGTGTTGTAATCAAAGAGTTGGATCATGACTGTTAGTATATGTACTATCTTGGCCTTATTATTTACATTATTGCCTTTAAATAAGTCACTTAGAGTTACGCTAGGAACATTGTCCCTTCAAAAATCCTAGAACTTCCAAATATTTTCTGCCTTCAATCTTTTCTTTCACTCACTTTGTTTTCTTCCTCCTATTCTCTAATCAAGATGGGTTCTGCATTCTATAACAGTAAGATTGCTTTTTTTACTCGTGTTCATTTGATTAATCGAAGATGGCTATTTTGAATGGGAACATAACACAACCAGGGTTTGTATTCAATAACTCCACCAAACTTGTAGATGTGTGATGATGGGTTACTATTCTATCTTGATCAAATTTAACTAGGGTTGAGACTTCATTTAGGAAATGAACTGGCCAACTAAAAAGTTGTACCTAATTGCACGTGCCACACAAGTAATTTATAAATGAATACATCTCACATTAATTAATTACCAATACTTACTACATTAGGATTTCATTCAAGAATTAAAAAAAGATAAAGTTAACCTAAAATCTAAGTACTACTAGCAAGTGAGCTATTAATTAAAGAAATCACCTTATATTTGTAATTTATTTATATTAGTTTATTGAAAATTATAATTTTAAAATGTTAATTAAGAACTTTAATTTCTTATATCTATTGATAACTAGAAGACCTAATTAATCTTTTCTAATTCAATATGTGTCTACATGTATTGAAATGAACAATGACATTATAAATGTTCTCTAATCACTGTAAGTTCTTAAAAAAGCATATGTTTATTCTACCAAACTTGGTAAAATACTTTTAGTTTTGTCTCTATTGCTCTATTGCTCTATTATATCTATATATCACACTAGTTTTAAAATAAACCTTTGGCTTATGGGTGATTTAAATTATTCATAAAGTAATTTAAATTATTTTTAGTATTCCATACAAACCATTTTAATAAAATTCAAGAACAATTGCAAAAAATGTCTCACAAACATATAATTTATCGAAGTAATTCATGCTTTGAGATGGAGAACACAAACAAAATTTCCTTCAAAAAAAAAAAATTGCAAAATAAGAAGGATAGAATGTGATAATTTTTATAAATTTACTCCTTGAATTATCTTCTCTTCTTGCACTCATTTGTTTCTCCTTTTCAAGGCATTCCATTTTTTTTATCCACTCCCTCACTAGCTAAGTGTCACTAAAATCTTCTTTTAAGTACATCTCGCACACACAATACTATTAGCACTTTAATGTCATATGAATAACTCCTTCAAATTTTCAAGCATGTCTAAAATCGCTTCAAAACTGAATGGCCAGGGTTGAAGTGGTGTGGTAGTGGTAGTAAGGGCTGTCAAAACTGCTCGTTGTTCGCGAACAGCTCGTGTCCGACTTGTTAATAAGCTCGTGTTCGACTCGTTTGCTAAGTTAACGAGCTGAACATGAATCGTTCGTGTTCGGCTCGAAATACTACTAATCAATTTTATATATATATATATATATATATTTGATGAGTAGAATTTAAAAAAAAATTAATTGACTACAAGACTACAAAAATTTATAATCAATTAAAATTATTAAATTAGATTCAAATGATGTTTTAAATCTTGCCCCAATCCTTAACATATTATGACTACGTGATTAGGGTTGTCAAAACGACTTTTTTTTTGTGAACGGAACAGCTCGTGTTTGGCTCGTCAAGCAAACGAGCCGAACACGAACACACTTTTTATCTCGCTCGTGTTCGGCTCGTTTACACTCCTAGTGTTAGTGTATCAAGTAGCATCAAGGCACTGCTTGTAGCATTGCAACACTAAACTTGGCACCAAGACTCTAGTCTCCCTGTCTTTTAAGTTGAATTTGGGCTCCTTTTAGTGATGACGTTCTCTAATAAGTAGCATTGTTGCACTAAACTATATATCTTGATTTTTCAAATTTCCTTTCCCTTGGTGCGGTGATACCATAAATCAGTGCTAAGACATTGAGTTCATAGGTTTCTGAACATTTTCTTTTGCTTTCCAAAATTGTGGCACCATAGAGTTGGTGCTTAGGCTTCATATTTAGAGTTATGATGCTAGTTTTCTAGCACATAGTCACTATGCTCACTGTTTCTTTGGTCATTTCCCACCTTTATAGCACTGCGACACCATTAAATGCAACGCCTATGCGCTATATTTATTCTCTATTTTCTCATGTATAAATTCCTGCTAAAATTGATATAATTTGTGATAATGAAACATAAAATTATTTAATTTTTTAACAAAAAAAAAATATTATTCATTTATTTACTCAACTCACTTAACATGAACTTGTAGACATGTTTAATTTTTATGGTGTGATCCTGATACAAGTGTTTGCTGAATTCATTTACCGATATTATGGCAATTATAATTTTAACGAGAAAGAATAAGATAGGATTACCAATAACCATTGTTGACCTTACTTTTGTGAGGACTCACCCGACATACTTGCACATGACCCTAGACAAGGACTGTGCTTTCTTGGGGCTCACCAGTTCAAGCCCAAGTTCCCAACCCTTGGTTAAGTGGGTTTAGGGTTTTGACGAGGTGAGGAACCTAAATTAACCACCACGGGCTAAACATGCCTTCAGTCACCCAAATCAACCCAAAACTTTAGAGACTTGCCTATAGATCCTAGGAACCACTTTGACCATGAAATCCATCTTAGAAGTCGGTCTACCTAAATTGGTTCCTAGCCTCAACAAAGGCCTCCTTAACTCTACCAAATCCTACTAAACCCTAAAAATCACCTCAAACCCTAATGTACCCTTTTTTAACCCAAAATTTGATTATTCCTTGAGAT